AATTGCCTTCTGATATTTGGCTTCTCGGGGATTTTATGGAGTCATTTTAACGAGCTTCTTACGCCTTCTGATCTAATTGGCACGTGTTTCTTGGTAGCGGTGTTCATAGTTAATCTCAACTCGACGCCACGCTACAATTGATAATCCCAATTCGAATACAAAGTATAACATAGGAAGCACCAGGCAAATAACCCGTGATGGTAAATCTCCACAAGAAGCAAGTAAATCTAAACAATTCAATAAAATGATTAGCTTCAGAAAATATCAACAACGATGGTATCCTCATTAGTTTTACTGGGAATATCCCTAGCTAAAAGCACTTGTGTGGGCATCTGCACGAAATGACTTCTGGGTATGTCGTACCGTCCATCTATTAAGAAAACTTAGATCGTTTACAATCTAACATGTTCGCCTTTATTCTCGCCTCATATTCTTGACATCCAGTTTCAGCGGTTTTGTGATCATTGTATAAGTAGTTTCAGACAGTAACACTGACAAACATTACCACACCCCGAAATATTTCTTGATGAGTCACGATGTGTCCTGGTAATATATACAATATACTGAGATGCTGTTCCCTGATTGAGATTTCTACTGTGATATCTAAGGCAAGTTGTCCCGGCACTGGAGAAAATTCTAGTTTTCACAACCCTAAATGTACTATTATAAAAAATAACCTATGGGAAAAACCACCAGACAACACACGTTGACGGCAACTGTAGCAGGTGAACATAACGATCGGTTGTAAACCACACGAATATTGATGACCTATCGATATCTCGGTGATCTAGGCTCAGAAGCCGTCGTCTTTGCGAATTCGGACGACCTACAATATCATGCCGTCAGACACGAGCATAGGTCTACTTACACTTTCGAAAGCGCGCCAGTCAGCTTCTGGAAAGCCATCGGACACCCTATGCGGATCCATGTCCTATACAGTGTATAGGAACAGTAGCAGAGACTGCGGTTCAATTGGTGCTTAACGAGAACTTAATACGGGAATCACTTCTTGCCGTTATCCCACATTCACGACCTATCACTTACCTCTAAAGCCATGGACATCATTTTAAAACATAATCTTTGGTGACGAAGCCCCCACTGACTTCGAAAGTTATCGTCAACACTCCTTGCAAAACGACGAATCCCGGTGCACGGCTTTCGTTTTGAAAAACTGCACAGTATTTCTAGTGATTCATCGTCCACAGTGGTCTTGCATTTCTGCCTGCGCATATTGATGACTGTTTTTTTGTAAGTTTATACAGAGGATCCTATTTTTAGTACATGTCCCTTGCTTTTCAACAGCGCTAACAAAATGACATCTAGATATTTCAAATTGGAAAAAATGTCATCGATTTTCCTAAGAAAGCTAGTGATGCTTAATGCATTTACCCTCTGGAAATGGAGGACTGAATTGCAAGTTACAATGAGGCAAACAATGTATTTGTAGATGCCCCTTCTACGATAAATTTTACTTCTAAACTCACTCGGCCGTGAAATAATAAACTGAATTTTCGCATGAGTTGTTATTGTTATTCACAAACAAATTATTTATACATCACTGTTGTGAAGAAACCATCTTGGGTCTCATCACACATGCGATTACTGACAAGTCTGATTAAGGTTTACATAATATACAAAATATTTTAACAAGCCTAGCAATATTTAGAATATTAAGTAACGTCGAAGAGTACGTGCGAATGTTTGAGTTTGTTTATGAAAGACAAAGAATAAACAGTATTATACACATTACACATAATTTTAAATACACTATTATTGTGGTAAGAATTATTAGTTGAGAGTCAAAACAGTTAACAATGATGCGAGGAAAAACTTATCACAGGACGAATTCGCTTGCTAGGAATAAAGAGGTGAGGACATAACTACGCTCCAGTGTTAGCTGCCAAAAATCTCAGATTACATATGAATCATCCCTTGGGATGTATAAGTCCTGATGCTCACATAGACCAGGTCCATCTTGATTTGACAGTGAACTTTTTCGCATGATGACCAATAACTGTACCCACCAACATTTTGGCTAGAGTATAAGACAACACCTTTGCCGAATGATGGATCAAATTCTCCGGGTACTCTATAACCATTCCTACAGACCATTGAACTCAATCTCGATATAGATATTTTATTTTGAATGTATGGTGATCTGAACTATTGACAAGCTAGCTATAAACACCATGTACTCAGTTAAACTCGTTCTGATCCGATCACAATCAAGTGACTTTTCCGTCTAACCAGCCTCAAGAGTTAGTATATTAAGTACGCAGATCCATCGACACTGTTTATCAAGGACCTTATAAAACTCTTTATCGTGGACGGAAGTATTATACTGTCAACAGCATCGACAGAGTGAAAAACACTCCCCGTCGAATTTTTCACTACACTATTTCCGATATTGTGAAACAACCACGATCATCACCGATCATAAGGAAACATCTGACATCCGGACTAAGTCGAAATGTTCTGTGAAGCGTGAAGCTCTCAGGACCCCTAAATGACTATTGTGTATAGGTGTTTCCTTACATAAGGTTAGCATTCTAACGGACAAACTAATATAATAGCGAAAACTTGCCACAATTCCTGTTCTTTAGATTGTCATTTCCCTTGTCACCACGTCTATATTCGATGATCCGTGCTCAATCTTTGTATCGTGACAACAGTTTGCACACACCAAGAAGACTGACGCGAAATTAATCCTTGCATTATACCTGATAACAGTTTGTGATGAAATCCCACAAATTCATATACATAAGTCTACCAATTATCGTTTCTTAACCAAACCATAATGACTCGCTAACCAAAAAGCATTTCTTGGAAGTCCATATACTTTCATCTCCGCCTCCTATCTTTGCGTTATCAAGAATATTTAACCCTCCAAAAGTTTTACCCTATCCATCATCATATGACAGAACTGGATTGATATGATTAAAAAGAAAGGATTGAAGTGAATGACTTGAATGGATAAGTGATATTATTGAGTTCTCCATCGCGACACTAGCATAATCAGTTACGCTCAGTAATGTTCGAATAAATAATGTTTTGTACCATAACAACACTAATCATGTTAGGCAGATTAATTGAATTTAAAGCCGTTCTGGTTTGCTTTCTTGAAAATGCGATGACTGTCTTCCAGTCAGTTACAACGTAAGACCAGGCAAGTACATGAATCGGTCCGAGTTGCCGCACCTCATTAACACTGGGTTGATAGAAGCAGTTAACTCACTGATGTAATATATAAAAGAAAGACTTTATGTAAGGATATAGTACAGATGGATACGAAATAATTTGAACCTCATAGTTTAAGGGAAGATAGACAGTATAGACACCTACGTCATTATGGTCGATTCTGAGCCATGTCATCCAGTCTCCAACCACTGGTTACGATCGTCAGGCGGACCCCAACCAAGTAGTCTGCATCTACCAACATGATCGAGACTAGGAGTTAAACTCCAGGAAATGATGCCACGTTTGGCTTTGGCCACCCCTAACTTTCTTCCAAACGTTTCCAACACTAGTCAACATTGTACGTCGTGGCAATCGGTGTTTGGGCATGCGTGATACTTGGCCTGATCATCTCAGTCGATGTAGGTTTGCAACCTCACCAACTGATTTACCATCATTCCCTAACACCCTGCGTCTAACCTCACTACTACTTACCCGGTGATCCCAGAAGATGCGAGCAACATTTCTAGGACATCTGTGGTCGAATACTAGTAACTTACGAGTGTCCTCTATCCTCAATGGCCACGTTTCGCTTCCGTAAAGTAGAACAGAACGAACTGCCACACAGTATACTCGTCTCTTAATTGGTAGACGGATATCTCGTCTTCTCCATAGGTGACGTAAGTTGGCAAAAGCCAAACGAGCCTACTGAATCCGTGCTGAGATTTCGTCAGATACCAACCCACTAGGGCTGACCAGACTTCCAAGAAAAGTGAAGTTATCACCGCGTTCGACTGCTCCACTCCCTATCCTGAGTTCAGGTGTTGGCTCAGGCCAACCCTGGAGCAACAGTTTGCATTTAGAGGGGAAGAAACGCATTCCAAACATTCCTGGCATTGTTGCTTAGTGCTACTAGAAGACCGCATTTTATCAGCGTCTTCACCAAACAGAACTATATCATCTGCGTATTCTAAGTCGATAAGTGGACCTCCTGGAAGGAGGTCAATGCCAGAAAATTCAGTCGACAGAAGCGTTAATTATCAGTAGGTCTATGATGAAGTTAAACAGAAATGGAGAAAGTGGACAGCCTTGACGGATACCACTTGAAGTTACAAAAGCAGATGACAGTTCGCCATAAGCTCTGAGTCGACTGGTAGTGTTCGAGTAAAGAGCCTTCACAAGGTTTATGTACTTCTGAGGTACGTCTTTCAATGGCAGACACTGCCACAGAATCTCGCGGTCTACAGAGTCAAACGCTGCTTTTAAGTCAAGAAGGACCACCATTGCCGGACGCCGATAAGCATGTCTGTGTTCTAGAACCTGACTAATGGTGAATATGTGGTCGATGCAGCCACGACCAGATCTGAAGCCAGCTTGATTCTTTCGTGTTTGCAGTTCACGTGTCCTAGGCGCCCGATAATTACTGAGGCTAGTATTTTATATGCTATATTAGTCAAAGTAATCCGTATATGGTGGTGATTTTGACCTCTGCTTATATATCGGGACATTAAGCGATTGTGAGTGTCTTTCAGTTGATTATTTTGGTTTAGCTTATTAATATATTACAACTTATGCTAAAACGTTGAAAAATAAGCAACTGCGTTACAGCCTAAGATTTCACTGCCAAGTAATAAATATTTGAATTCATCTGGAGGCCACTGAAACGCTACAAGTACGACATGTAAATTCATAATCACCATCGCATCAACCTAGTTTCAAATTTACATAAGGGTTAGAAATTATCGGAAACAACATGGTAGATTATACTGGTAAAGGAATGTGTCAATTGATTAGGTGGACTATCAGTAATCAGAAAAAGTGCCATGCACAACGCACATGTATATGTATTGTATTTGAAAAAGTACAAATAATCTTTAGAAATAATGCATGCAGTAAACACCATTAATCAAAGATAAAGACTAGCTGCAAAAACAATATCCCGTTTGATTTTTTCGATAGCTAAAACAAAAAGGAGATAAATGCAGAAAATCATCATATCAAAAAGCGAAAATATATTGAAAACAATTAGGATAAGAAATTTTTATTAGATTACATTACAAAAAGTAGTCGATAAAGACAATTCATACTAATAATTTCAAATATCCTTCATTTTCACATACTTTATCATAGTCGATGGATGTTTGGAGAGAAAAAAAAGCAAGGTCACGTCACGTTTCCCTATTGTTCGAGTCAAATAAAACATAAGCCATCAAAGTCGGTAGGCCATTAGATAAAAAGCAAACTATGTCTTAAATTATCTTTTGGTCTTATTTGAGTAGTATATTTACGGCACAAACTACGCATAACCCTTTTCATGTTGAAATGAGTCAAAAGAATCAAATAAAAAATATTGACCCTCAATGAATCGTGTAAATAACACTATAATAGTTTTCCCGATTATGCTGGTTATTAAAGACGTAAACCTATAACCTTGAGTGAAGCTACTAAGTTCGAAGTGTTTCTCACGTTTACGATAAAAGGAATCACAAACGAGTTGAAACGCCCACATGATTTTGGCAAATATTATGCATCACTAGCACCACAACTGTAAATATTTTCAATTTTTTTACAGTGAAAACGGGCTCAACACATCTAGAATTTATGTAGCTGACACTACTCAGTACACGACTTCATGTCATAATATGCAACAAAATAAAGACACAATAACTACTAACCCTCAACAAATTTCTTTTCCAAAACATTGCTACCAATTGTTCTAGCTGCATTAGCCATTTGTCGTAATAACTCTTCAAGTAATCTCAATGTACGAATAATTGTGCCTTCAAACAAGTCTGTCATAGAACAAACGCTAGCAAAGGATGCTCCTCTTGTCCATGCATCAACAAGATCCATTAAATGAGGTTTAAATGAATCCACGTAATTATCTTCATCAACTGGGAGACGACATTCGTTACTAATACGTGCAATACGTCTGGCTGTATCCTGTGTACAAATAGATATTGAATTAATCGAGATAAAAAGTAAAACGAATAAAATTTCCTTTTCTAACCATAAAAACGAACGCAAGCAACGCCCAAACACAATTTAATATTCCTCATGGATATCGAGGGAAACACTAATTTATATGAAGTCAGTGAGTCACAGTTGGAATATTTTTGAAACACAGGAACAACAATCCCACTAGCAAACTATCTTAATTGTAAAGAGACAGAGTTACAGTTTGAATCTTGGGATTTTGTGGAAGATATAATTTAATAAAACACGGACTTGATGAAAATTCGGGATCTAGTGATGCGCTGCATGACTAAGTAAACGTTAAATAGTTGAGTTACTATGTATGTATAGCTTATTTTTAACTACAAATAATTATATACAAAAAGTGATGAACAACAGCCAGTGTTGAAGTAAAAGTATACACAGTTATCCAGTTAGTTTGTGAGCAAGGAAACGTGACAATAACTGTATCTCGAAAGTGAATTAGGTGGAAGGTGATTTGAACATAGTTCAATGGTAACAAGTAGCGTACTTTAACCAATAAGCTATCACTCACAAACGGTGACGACATGACTACACTAACTCTACATATGCAAGTAAACTGGGTGTTAAACTTTAAACATCAAGATGAGGAGTCAAGTGTTTATTACAAAATGTGAGACCGTAAAGTAAATTACAGTTATATTTAAGGAAATGATGGAAATCAGGTGGTAAAATTGTCAGTTAACATGATGAAAGACCGACTCGGCTCGCACAGAAATTCTAAGATGATCTTATCGGTTCAAGAAGTTGAGATCTCGTCAAGTTATTACTAGCGGTTTTACATGTGTAACTCCACTTATTCTAAGAGCTAGTTTAAATAGTTTTGAAAATGAATACGCTGAAAAGAAAACTCAGCGATGAACTAATTTTTGATATTTTAAATTAAATCAACTCGTGCATTTAAAAATAGAGTTGTTCATATAGTTATTTAGAAGCCCGATTTTAACGTTATCAGCAACAGTACATAATTTTCATGATAGCTTGGAAGCCAATATCTCTGTGTTTAACCATTAAAACTTAGATAAGTCTTCAGAAAAGAGAAAAATGTGAAAAGTAGGTTAATTAACTGGAAAATAGTGAGTTCTATTTGAACAAATTTGAAAGATTACAAATTTCATTCCAACCATAACTTCGATGCTGAATTCAGTCTCTGAAGAGTACGAGAGATGTTGAGATTCAGAATTATTGTTAGTCAGCAAGATGTATAGATTTCGACTATTTACATGTAGTATTGTAGATTATTTAAAAAAACATGTTTACGTAATCATCTTTGAGTCAGACTGTTTTCTAGCAGAGC